AGTCATGCAGGGGATCAATGGGGATTAATTTTTACCACCCATCAAGTCAAACAGAGACTGCAACCAAGAAATTAGAAGAAGACTGAGACTTGGAAGAATAGCAACAAAGGAACTAGAAAAGTTCATCAAGTGTAAGGACATTTCAAGAGAGACCAAGGCCAAGATCATTCACACCATTGTATTCCGTATCCCTATGTATGGCTGTGAACGCTGGACAGTGAAAAATGCTCATAGGAAAAAAATTGCTGTGTTCAAAATGTTTTGGAAATACCCTGAACAGAAAGAGGAAGAAGTGGGTTCCCGACAAATCCACTCAGAACTTTCCCTGAAAGCAACAATGAGAACATGAAAGCTGTCATATTTGGGGCACATCATGAGAAGACAATAATGCTAGGAATGTTGAGAGCAGAAGTAGAGGAAGACCAGCAATGAGACAGATCAATTCCATAAAGGAAGCCAGAGATCTAAGTTTACAAGAGGTGAGCAGGGCTGTTAAGGGCAGGAAATTTTGCAAGGCAGTCTTTCATGAGGTTGCCGTAAGTTGGAGATGACCTGATGGTTCTTAACCAACAAACATATATGTCACTGTGAAGAGACATGTGTCTAGTCCTCATAGTTACAAATCCCCCTCCCCCAAACAAACAGTAGTATAAAGAGTTAGAAATGAAAAGGATAAGGAAACAACGTATCTTTCCATAATGGGATCCTTTCTAACATTTTGACCCTTAAGTTATCTTATGAGGGTTTGCCCTAAAAAAGTGGCTATGGGATTAGAAATAAAATGAATACACATTCACTTAAAGCCCAATAAATCTTAATGAAAAAGCCATTTCAACTTTCTATCCCATGGAAGTGAATGCATGATATGAACAAAAGTTGTAATGTGAGATTTTCTGTCAAGCATGGAATCCATTCAGCACGATTTGATTGAAACTCCTGCTAAAAAGGGCCCTAACATCTTCTGATCTTGATTTGTTAATGACAGTTGCTTTTGTTACCTCCAGGCAGACTGTGGGACTTGCATTGTTAATGAAAACACATTGAACAGCTTCACACTTGAGCAAAAAGTAATTGCCGGCAGCCCCCTTCCACTGAAAGACATGACTGAAACAACCCACGTGCTGTCCCATTGCTCAAGATCTTTCATGTGGCCCAAGCCTCCCCCACAGTTTGCCATCATTACGTGAAAAGGGCACAATTAATTCCTCCATTTCCTTGGAAACGGCGGTTCTACACAGCACCAATTCTGAAGGCTTTAAATAACCTACAATGTTGAGGAATGTCTGTGGGATACAAACTGAAGAACATCCACAACGTTTTGCTAAGTTGCAGTTCTTTTCCTGATCCAAACTGAAGAGGTGAAGATTTATGGCTGTTCGCCATTTTAAAACTTTGTTTTAAAAATCCCACCTTTATCTTTTACAAAATTATTCTGGGGAGTGAGCTAGCATAAAAATTAAACGCACATAAAATCCAATAAAAAAATCATGAGTGCAACACTATTGTTGAAAACTATAAAGGTAAAGGTTTCCCCTTGACATTTAGTCCAGGCATGCCTGACTCTAGGGGGCGGTGCTCATCTTCGTTTCCTAGCCAAGGGAGCCAGCGTTTGTCCACAGACAGTCTCCGTGGTCATGTGGCCGGCATGACTAAACACCGAAGTGAACGCTGTTACCTGCCCACCAAAGTGGTACCTTTTTATCTACTTGCATTTGCATGCTTTCGAACTGCAAGTTGGCAGGAGCTGGGACGGAGCAATGGGAACTTACCCCATTGTGCAGATTCGAACCGGCGACCTTTCGATCAACCAGCCCAGCAGCACAGAGGTTTAAACCACTGCGCCACCTGCAGTCCCTGAAAACTATAGCAAAATCTTAAATGAAAAACTAGCAGAAAGACTGCGGTTTTCACAGATCAACAGAGATCAAGGAAACCTTTTTATTTGCCCAATATTTTAATATTTAATTATTTTAACTAGGTTTTAACATTGTTATGCTCAGCTATGCTTTGTTATGCTTGTTATGTCGTTTTGTATTTTGTTGTATTTATTTATTGATTTATTTATGGTTGTAAGCCATCCTGGGATGTTTTGTAAAGGATGGGGTATAAATATTGTTAATAAATAAATAAAAAACCATTAGGACGAGAACAGAAGAATTCTTGACTCTGGAGGTGCTGCCCCAGACAGCAAGCCACCAGAAAGGATGTTTAGGTCAATGAAATGTTCTCATTGATTAAGATCACATGACACAACAACCTGCAATGGTTTGTAACCCACAGTGGGTTCGCATGTTATTCAAACCTGTGGTGGATTTGTCAGGGTGGCTTCTATTGGAGTAATAAGCCACTTTTACGACTCATGGTTCACAGTCGGGAAGATTTACTTACCTGTTCCCCCAGGTGAGGGCTCTGAACAGAGTGGGTACCTGCTGGACTCTGCCAGTACGCATCGCCCTTCCCATAGCCCACTGTAGGTTCCCCACTACTGCTCCCACATAGCTACTGTCACCTACCGTTATGCGAGGGTGGCCAAAAACAAAACCAAGCAACAAAAATCCATTTTGTTAAATATTTGTGAAGAAGAGGAACTCTAATTAAAAAAACCCGAGAACCACAAGGGACCACCGGGACACTTTGTCAAGGCAGCATGTGGCTGTCAAAAGAAGGACGGCTGGCTTTCACAGTTGAAAGCAACAAAAAAGATTAAAACAAAAAAGCACTGTGATGAACCCAAAAGGACTTGTGTCAAGGAGAGGGGGCCGTCTTATTCCTCTTGTGGTGTCCCATGGGATACTTGCAGGAAATCCAAGGTGGGAAGGGGCACCCTCCCTCTGATCCTCTGTCAGGCACATCAGGAATAAGCTGTCTAGCAGGACCCCATCCAGTCCAGCTTGCTGCACAACATGGCTTATTATGCCGTGTGAACCTGCCCAGTCTCCGGATTGGCCCCTCCTAGACACAAAGGGCTTCCTGGCTGGTTTGGGCATGGTCAGGGTAAAAATGTCCAGAGCCCCAAAACCATTTCCATTGCCAGCAGCCACCACGTTTCCTGAAACAATCAGTGGGAAACATATTTGAAAAGGGGGAAAAATCAGAACAAAAAATTATTTAACCGGGAGGGAAGGAGGAGGAGAGAGAACAATAGGTGCAAACTCAGGTGGGTATACAATTCAAGAGCCAGTCTCTAAGCAACAGAGTAAGAGGCAGGCGAGGCTGATGACTCTTATGTAAGTGACGTTTCTATTCTGTAAGCAAGTAAAACCCCAAACCATTTCTAAGGTTCCCTTTCTGGCCTCAGGAAATTAGAGATCTTTATTCTCTGAGGAGGCTCAGACTTTAGGCAAGTGGAAATGGAAAAACAGTCAGAACTGGGGCCAGTGGCAGCCTATTGCCAGACAAGGACTGTCTTTATAAAAAATCAGACATGGCAACCCAAAACATTCTGAAAGCTCTAGGTTAATAATAATTTTTTAAAACTCCACCTGGCTCTGATAAGCTAACAGTGGCATCAGGTAAACTTCCTGAGAGCAAGGATGTTTCTAGACAAGGTTTTTATCCTGCAATTGCCCTACTTCAGTCACAAAAAGTTACCAGGGTTGTGCTGGTACTCCTGTCAATGACATCTTGGAACTCTGTTTTCCTCCCTTTCTTCTGTTTTCTTTCCATTGGGGGAAAACATCTGTTCAGGGGATAAATAAAATAACTGTGCAATATCTTTTCAATGATAGTATTAGGAACCATTCATCTGAAGACACCCCAAATCCCCAAGGGTATGCTTGTGTGTGTGTATGTGTGTATACCAGAATGGGAAAAGTCCTATTCTGAGTCACCCCCTACTTTGAATGGTAAAGGGTCTCCAGTGGGAATCTTAATACTGGACAGGTTCATATAGAAAGTTGTTGTCCTTGAGGTACCTGATTTAGGCTTCAAAAGTTAAAACCAGCACCTTGAATCAGGCTTATGAGTCAGTAAATCTTCAAGATTTGGAAGATTTCTTGCATACTTGTGATCCCAATTAGCATAGCTACTATATTCCATGCTAATTATAATTTCTGAACTCAATGTTTGTTTCTCTTTTTTAAAAAAGTAATAGTTGGCTTTGTTGATCAATTAGCAAAAATCCAAAGGTAACAATAGGATTTCAATGAATTTTATTGTTTTAATTGTTGTTAAATATTGCTCATTATGTTGAGAGATGCCCAGAGAGCCTATGGCTAATGGGGTGGCATACAAATTTAAAAAATATGTAAAATAAATAAAAAATCTTTATCAGTCCTAACCAAAATGTCACAAAAAATTAGCAACCAAAGGGAAACTTTGTCATTTTATGTAGCCAGATCCTCTGGATGTTTAATTCGAAGCAAATCCTATTAAAACTCAGTGGGGTTTGCTTCCATGTGGGCATGCATAGAAGAGTATACATAACTCAAGTATCCATCTATTTACAAAATAATGTTAACAATTCATGCATCTGACCAAGTAAACCTTATGGCATTTCAACATATGTCACAATAAACTTATTTATGGCACATTCCCATGCATGTTTAGGCAGAATAAAATCCCAAAACATTTCTGTCTAAACATAACTGGAAGGGCACCATAAATCATTAAGATGCCAATTTACACTTCAGCAATATTTTTTGCAACAAATAAGGGCTGTAATTGCACTGATCTTGGAGTAAGCTTCTGGTTAAAGAGGCATAAGACTGCATAGTAATTTGCAGAGGTAACCTCTCTGGGAGGGTTGCAACAACCTTTATCTACACGCGCATCTTTGCAGAGAGGTGTGTGGTAATCAAAATATTTACCACCCAACATTTTCTAAGAGCTATACAGATATTAAAAGATAAGTTAGTGCTTCCCGCAGGTTCAAAATCCAATAGGCGCGACACTAAAGGAAAAGCAAACAGGGAGGGAAAAGGAAAGCACACCAGGCGCTTTCCCTGTCTGGGGGCGGGGCCAAGACGGTCTCCTGCGTTGGTTGGAGGGCTCGCGTCCTTCTCTCAAGACCCTCCCTTGAAACTCGGAGCTCTTCCAGTTCTCCTTGAGATGTCCCCCACGCCTTCCCCTGCTGCTATACTTGGGATTAACCTGGTGGGCGGTCGCTATCCCGTGAAGCTTGAGCCTCGCGAGTTTCCGTCGCGGCCTCAGCCAGCTGAGTCCGTTAGAGCCGCCCTTGGTCTTCTCCGCTCGCGCTCTCTGCCCTTTCTCTCAGGAGAGGTGCTGCGCCCTTTCCCTTGCAAGCATCATGTCCCAGGTCCTCAAATCGGTGGATTACGAGGTGTTCGGCCGAGTGCAAGGTGAGGGGAAAGGGCGGGGGAAGTGGGTGAAGTAAATTATTAGGGGAGGAACGGGAGGGGGGAAAGGGGAGAGGTTTGCGGAGCGTAACTGCATGGCGCATGCGCGAGACTCGCCTGCCGGGTTTGGCGAAAAGCCGGCATCCGAAGTGCGCGTGCGCAGTTCTTACTCGAGTGCGCACGCTTCGTAGGCTGGAGAATGCGCCGCGCACGCTCAAGTTCGGTTACGAGCGAAGTGGGACAGCGGGGAACCTAAAACGCATGCGCAGTGGGGTGTATTTGCTAGGCAGAAAGTCGTGGCGGTGCAGGGGTATTGACCCTGAGCAGTTTAGTCCTGCTTCTGGTACCAGCAGGAAGGTTACAATAGAATTAGAGTTGGAAGGGGCCTTTAAGGGCATCGAGGCTTAAAGGGCTATACGACTGCCTGTATGCTTGAACGCTCTAAACACCGCACCAACTCTCAAGTTCTCTGCTGCAAGGAGCTTGCAATATGTATTTTGCTAGTGAAGAACATTGCATGATCCTTAACTGTAATGGATGCTAAACAAAAAGTAAACATTAATTAATTTGAGGGGAAGAATTGGCGAGATAAGGAATCAGTGTGAATATAGAGTTGGTTTGTTTACTTAGAAGTAAATCGTATTGGATTTAAAAAGGCACCGTAGGAAATGGGTTCGGGAATGCTGTGGTAGGATTTGTTTTAGTGGAGAATGATGATTCACAATGACTGGTTCACAGAAGCAATTCCATGATGGAAGCTCAGCCTTGAGTTTACAAGGACTGAACAGGGCTGTCAAGGACAAGACATTTAGAAGGGCATTCATTCATAGGGCTGTCATAAATTGGAGATGACTTGACAGCCAGTAACAACAGTTCACTGCAGGAATGGATACGGTTCCTTTCCTCAGCCCTAGCATTTCACATTGCAGGTGAAGAATTATATTATTAATTCAGATAGTAATAATGTTTATCTGACAGATTAAAAACTAACCAGGGAGAGGGATTCAGGTTTTCTCCTTGACTAGTCATTTATCTAGAAAGATCCCTGTCCCCCATGGTGCAGGTCAGGAATGGCTAAAAACAATCCAGCCATTATATTATGATATGTGCCGGGGGGGCCACTCTGGGGAAGGTGTTGCACAACTGGGGGCTACTCCTAAGAAGGCATCAAAGTCTTATATTCTACATGTGTGGCTGGGATTCATATCTAACAGCCAGAAGGCATGTGGCTACATGTGAAAAGAACCTGATAATTTCATTAGTCTGGAGGCACATATGTTTCATAAGTGTGAAGACTCTGCCCACTAACTTTTCCACAAATGAACATCCACATCTGTATGACAAAGTACCTGCTATTACAAGATAATGCAATCTCATTGCTGATCAAGTAATTTATTTACTTAATTGCTTAATTTGGCAGTGAGACAGTTGAAAACCTAATCCTTAGGGAAGTCATTTCCATAATGTTCAGTGAAATTTGCTTCTGAGTCAGTTTCCTTAGCTTTAGAACCTAAAAATGCAAGTTATACTTCAGTAGAACAATGGGAAAGTAAGAGATTTTATATACTGCGCGTGATCCATGCCGGTTTAAGCAGCTTTTAAATCCCACTAATTTCTAGCAGCTAAGTGTCTGTAATGGATTTTTCCATAAAGCACCCTCCTGCCTGATGAATAAGTCCTGTTTTCCTCATTTGTATATGGAGAATGTAAAGCAGGTCTCAGACAGAGGATGTGGCAGAAGTGGGACTATAACCTGGATTTCCTTAGGATCAGGTTTGCTATTTGATTCTAAACAAGGTATGGTGTTGGCTTCAATCTGTTTTCCAGATTTGCAACCACAGAAAGTGGGTTAGCTGGTAGAAAAGCTTTACAAATGAAATGCTGTGGCCCCACTTTAGTTCTAGCTGCATATGACTGATTTTAATACATTTATACTCCATCTTTGTGGATCAGCCAGGCCCCAGGGCAACTTACTAAGAAACATAATTAAAATTACACAAATACCACCAAAATGTATTTATACAATATATAAGCTACTTTAGATTGATGCCCGAGTCATACAACACATGCAGAGATGGCTGCTTCACAAAACAGTGTTCATCCCCATCTACTTCAATAGGTGTGTCTTGTACGGTCAGGAGGACCTAGCTGAACATCATCATGCAAGCATCAGTTCACTAACATTGCGCATCTGGAAGTTCCTTGCTAGATCAGAGCAACTATCTTTTGTCCCTCAGTAGCTGTTCATAATTAACTATCAACTTGCAAACTGTTTTATCCTTCATAATAAATGCAATGTAAATTTACATCCTTTGTTATACCTCCTCTTGCTCAGGATGAGCAGTTTGTGGCATTCCAGATGTTCTGGCCTATTATTCCCATTGTCCCTCACCATTGGATATGTTGGGTGGGGATGATTGGAGTTGTGGGCCAAAATATCTGGAAGGCCAAAAGTTGCTCAGCCCTGCTTTAGCTTCTTATTTCCTGAATCTAGGTAAAGTGTTGTTGCACAGCTTTGAACAAATAATATTTATTAATTTAATATTCTTTTCATTCTTTCCTAGGTGTATGTTTCAGAATGGTAAGGCAACATGAAGTACATCAGTTTTGCACCACTACTATATCATATTTTTGAGATTAAAAATAAGGCCTGTAGGCTGTGCAGAGACCCGAAGAGCTTGCAGTGCCATGTTTTCAGTGCTAATCAGGACAGTTAAGTATTGTGTGTCTGTGGTGTGTGTTTTAATGGAGACCTGTTTATTCCAATGCGGTAGTACCCTGATTTTATGAACACTCATTGTATGAATAAGTAAATCTATTCAGCCAGATGAGGAAAAGACACCAAGGTATGTGTATATGAACGTAAGTATTGCGCAGAGGTTGGGCACCTTGTTATGCCTGTGGTCCATAGGCAAAAATACACAGTATGGAACGATTACGTATGAGCAACACACCATATTTCACAATGACCAAGAAACGCAAGCGAACTGTGCTCACTTTCCAAAGCAAAATAGAGATTGTTGAAAGGTTGGAGAAAGGCGAGACGGCAACAGTGTTGGCAGAAGAGTTTGGAATTGGGAAATCTACAATTTCTCAACTGAAGAAAAACAAAGACACTCTCTTGCATTTTGTTTCAACAATGGGAAGTGAAAATGGCAAAAAGAAACGAAAAACAATGAAATGTGCAAAGAACTCAACGTTAGAAGATGCTCTTTATGCTTGGTTTTCCCACATGAGAAGTCTTGGTGAGCCCATTTCGGGCCCACTTCTGTGTGAAAAGGCCTTGGAAATGAACAGGAAATTGAATGGTAATCCTGATTTCAAGGCAAGTTCAGGATGGCTGGCACGATTCAAATCGCGCCATGGGATTCATCATCTTGGTGCTCATCATGAGAAGTTATCTGTTGACCAGACAAGTACTCAGTACCTCAAACGGGAATTCACAGATTTCAAGACAGAGGAAGACTCTGATGCTGAGAACATTTATAACACTGTAGTTGTTCCTGGGCCCTCCCATTCTGAAGCCTACAATGCGTTAGAAATCGCTTTGCAGTGGTTGGAAGATCAAGAGGAAAGTGATGTGGTGCAGCTCCTGTTTTTGAAAAGCCTGAGGGATTTGGCTGCAAAGAAGATTGCAAATTCTCTCAAGTAAAAAATGCATCCAGAACTTTTCTGGCAACAATAAAAGACTAATTTGGGGCCTAGTTCAGAGATTGAAAGAACAATAGACTTGTTGGGGTTGATCATGTACTGTATCACTGAAAAATAAATCAGCATAAGCATTTCCATTGATTTCTTTCCTCAATGAAATCCACATACCCAATTAAGTCTGTGGTAATACCATTTGCTGAACTTTATTTTATGAACTCCTCTTTCCACCATTAGTTTATAAAATCAGGTTCTACTGTAAATACATGATATGGAGTCATTTTTGTATTGTCTGCCCTTTAAAAATGTCTATTAGTGTTACTTAAGGGTCTCCTCCCTGGATCAAGTTTCCATCTGCTACATTTAGTGGCATTTCTGAGATTACAAATGGCTGAGAATTTAACTGAAGTGTAACTTTTGGATTCTGATCTGAGCTGGAGATTGGATTCACACAAAACCTAGCAACCCATTGTGGGTATCTTACCACCATGGGTTGTCATATTATGCGAACCCAGACTGCTTCCTACAGAGTGGCTTGTTTTGGAGCCACAAGCCACCATATTAACCCTATGATGGGTTGTCATCTGAATTTGGGAGAACCAACTGCATCATATGGGATATGGAAAGCAGTTTGCAAGCACTTGGCAACAGCGGCAAAAACCCTTCACTGCTGCTGCACATAATATCTCCTGTGCAATCACTAGTGACAACCCTTCCACGGATGCCGAAATTGCACTTCGGAACAACCATTCCTTGTTCTTCACCTTTAATTGTCCCAGGCATATGTGCAAATGACTTGGTAATGGAAAAAAAAAAAGAATCAGCTTTTCAGAGGTAACCAGGTGTGTAACCAGGTGTGGCTGCCAGATGTATGGATCTCGCCTGCTCAATATCCTTGCAAGTGTCAGCTGTCAATGGAGGCAAAGCGCATCCTATACAACCACATTCTCAGGTTTTTGCTTTGTTTTTGTTTTTAGAACTGTAAGCATAGTAAGTGCTCTGAAAATGTGTGTATGTATTTGGGAGTGGTGGTAATATTGCCTGTCTCTTGAGTAGTTGGAAACCTGGAAAGTGTTGAAAATGTGGATGTTACTAAGAAATGTCAGTTCAACATTAGAAATCCATTGCTAAGGATTTCTTTAAGTGCACTCTTTGCTGCTTTACCAGTAATTTTCCAGCAACAGTTCAGTAACTGTGTGCAAATGAATCTCTCTGCAGTCTCGCCTAGTGCATTTCTGTCTGTGTTACCAACTGCACTTTGCCCCATTTGACAGTTGAAACTTAGAAGGACACTAATCAGGCAACACTATGTGTGCTTGTAAGTATGCACTTGCATGCCTCCAATAGCCTGACCAGAAACAAGAAACTGTTGGTCCCAATATACATTTTTATGGCTCTGAATAACAGAACAAACAATGACAAATACAAAGGAACTGCAATCAGAATAGGGATGGTGAGGCAAGGTGGTTTCCTAATATCCTAAAGGACATTAGGATACAGACTGGAGAAGGAAGGGGGGAGGAGGAGAACAGCCCGTAGAAAGCTCAGTCTTCTGTCTGACACAGCCACTTATTCTGTGAACAACCAGTTCACCATGGCTTGGTCCACCACATTGATATTTGTCCATTGCATTGAGATTTGTCCTGATTTTTAATGCCCTGTGTTGGAACTGGAAGATGGACTGCAGAGGTTTCCTGGAGATTTAAGAAAAGGACCTTTAATGGTGTTATTTCTCACAGGCAAACTCATTGCAGGGTGATTCCTACCCAGTTTCTTCTGCTGCTTCTGGACATCTCATGATGTGAAAATCTTTTGAAAACAAAATTATTCATCCTACTGGGAGGAGAGGCATAAAAATAATATTGTGCTATATTATGTTCACTTTGTTCTTTTCGGTGGGATCCAACTTGTTCCATGTGATCAGATCAACTTTAAGCATCATGACCTTGCTCATGCAATCATATCTAAGTTTTACCTGGACATTATGCTTGTGCATGCAATCCCTCCTTTTCATCTCTGTGTGCGATAGTTACCCAGAAGTCTTCGCTTACCATAGCTTCCTTTTTCAGCCAAACAAGGAACATATACTGATCATGCATGGAACAAGCCAGGATCTTAAATTTTAAACCATTGGTTAAGATCCTGTCTTTTTTCCAACCTGGTACCCATGGTTTTCTAGTTAAGCTATAGCAGGAAATTGTGTTTAATTCAATACCTCCTGGCTTACTAAGGAAGAAGGCAGGGAATTATGGTCAGAGTACAGAGTCGAAAGGGCTATGAATATTTTTGCCTAGTAATTCAAGATGTGATTATCCAAATGGGGTCTATTTCTGTTGCATGTCAGTCCTTGATGCCACATGGCAAAACTTTTTTGAAACTAAGTTTCAAAGCATTTGGGAATAAGACTATAGGGGACTGCTGTTTGAAGAAAGCAAACCCCCACTGAAAATACGTGGAGGCCCTAAAGTAGTTTTTTTGAATTCCCACTCTAAATGGTTGTCTTCATAATAAAAGCTGAAAAATGTACTTTAGCAATTTAAATATAAGGCCTAATTTGCATGACCAAGGGAATTTTGATCAGCAGAAAGGTGTTGAATAGAAATAAATAAGACAGCAGCTGAGGCTTGGGTCTTGGACTGTACCAGCTGAGAATGCACATGTCTTCCTACACACAAAAAATCTACACGTAATTTCTAACACATCAGGAAAAAGACTACAGCCTTTCTGCTTACAATCTAGACCAGGGGTCTCAAACGCACGGCCCGCGGGCCAATTGCCGGGACGGGGGGCACGGGGGAGGGGCCCTGCAGCCTTCAAAGTGCCGGTGGCGCCCAGGCCGGCCTCCGGGAGCCACGCAGGATGAGCGGCCCCCCACCACCGCGGTGGTGGAATCCTTGATGCGGCCCAGCCTCACCCAGACTCTACTTCCAGCGGCCCCCAGGTAAGTTGAGTTTGAGACCCCTGATCTAGATCGTAATGTGAAGGAGGTGTGTCTGGCTTTTAGTTTTGTCAATATAAGAAGAACATGCAGAGCAAATAGATGGCACTCTTCCCTTCCCCTGACCTTCCTGAGGAAGTAGTTATTTCTTCTGCTGAGTTCAGAAGTGGCAGGCAAATTGGTGGCAAAGGAATGTGGAAAAGCGAGTGCTAAAGAAGGAAGTCAGATGCAATGAAATTGAAGTTTTGATGCTAATATGTTTTGGTATGAGTAAATTCTCTGTATCTCTTGTTCTTTTTGTTTTGTTTTTTTCCAAACCAGTATACAGAGGAAAAAGCTAGGAAAGTGGGAGTAGTTGGCTGGATTAGAAATTCCAGACAAGGTACGGTTACTGGCCAAGTTCAGGGCCCAGAAGAGAAAGTAAATGAGATGTAAGTACACTTTTTCCTTAACGTGTGCTGGCTAGCTTCACTAACTTGGCCAGTTTGGTTGAAATGCTGCTGCAAATTAATGAACCTTTGCCAGGTTTTGTGGGAAGGTAAGCTGCTAACTGAGATCTGTCTTGTTCATTTACTAAATGAACATGGGCTCATTAGATGTGCAACACTTGTGCCCCAGATCTTGGGTCAGGCAGAAGTTGCCTCTCCCAAATGTTTTCCCATTGCAGGCTAACAACTGGCATAGCTCCGGATTCAGTCTGTCCCGGAGATCCATGAATTCTGCCCATTCCCACCTGAGGCTCGTATAGCTGAACAAAAAGAACGTTAGAGCAGCCAAAAGAAAACTCTTACTTAAGTTTTGCATATGGATATGTAGCGATGCAAACTTAGAAAAAATTGTCGAAGTATAATGCAGCTCACTGTAAAAGGAAAGATTGTTCAGGTGCTAAGTGTTGATGGGCAATTCCAGGATGCTTATTCTGCTTTCCCAGCAAGGATAAATCTGATATCAGCGGAGCTCCTTCTCCATTAGTGTTTATTCTGAATGTTATAGGAAGCTATCCGTGGTGCTTAACCCATCCCACAGACAGGATCACCTCCATGGAGCCCCTTGGATAGTGCCCATAAAGCTCAGAATAAAATCTGCAATGGGTAAAAAGCCCCAGGAGTCACCAGCTTTCCCTGCTTCTTAAAGCTACTTATCTTTAAACTGAACTTGGGTTCATCAGCCCATTAAAAAGATAATGCTATCCAACAGACGGTGGTCTTCTGACAGCCTTTCCAACAGAATAGTGTCCTCTGTAATGTAGGATACATGACCATCCTAACTCAGCATCATGAAAAAGACTGTACACTAGCAATGACACCACTAAACCCTTTCAAACAATCCAAAGTCTGGCCAACCACCTTCAGAGAGGAAACATGGAAGGGAGGCTCTCTTAGGGACTCTGTTTCTCAGGAAACTTCATAGATGTCTGTTGGAGTCCTCCTCTTGCCACCAGTTGCTTCAGCACCTGAAGCATCCAAGACTGGAGAATCTGTGCATGACCAACCCATACTTCCAGTGGTTGCTCCAGCTGCCCCTTAACACCAAGGTAAGGTCCATGTTCGAGGTAGAGGTGAGGCCTGTTTAGGTTTCTTACCAGGGTGCTTGATGTTGACTTCATAAACTGGTGGACATGGTCTCAGAAGAAAAGGATGCATATGTAGAGTAGACACGCTCCGCTCTGCTGCATGCTTCCAGCTGGGACAATCTCAGGTTCTTCCTAGGCCATGTCTTGCATGCACGATGGCCTGAGCTTTAGGAAGTCTTAGCAGAAGTGGTGGAGGAAAAAAGCCAAATACGTTTGGTTTGCGGAACGTTTGAGTGAAAACATAGGTTCCATAGCATCCAGAGTTGGTGTCAACAGAAACAAGTTGAGTTCAGTTTTCCTCTCCTTGAAACCAAATGTATAGAATTCCAGGCATGTGAACATTTTGCCAGTTTAATGTACTAAAAACCTGCTTAGACATGAAGGACTCCGCCATGGGCTTTTTGATGATAAGAAGTGGGCTTTTTACAAAACTAGACTCACTTAACTAGTAATAATCAACACCAAAGGTAGAAAATCAGTTGGCAGTGGTGACTGACAGCCTTTAGATTAATTACTGGCTTAGTTATTCATTCCACCTGTCTTCTAAGGCACTATAAACAGGATTTACCATATTTTATCCTTACAAAACCCTATAAGGTAGGTCAGGCTAAGAAACAGTCACCCAGTGAACATCATGACCCAGGAAGAATTTGACCCCAAACTCCTGGCAGACAAACCCCTTGTGAAATTCTATGACAAGATTTTGAGGTGGCTAGACAGAGGGGACGCGGTTAATGTGGGTTACCTGGATTTCAGCAAGGCCTTTGAAAAAGTGCCGCATGATATTCTGGTTTAGAAATTGAGGAGTTGTGGGATAGACCAATGCACTGTCTGATGGATTAGGGCATGGGTGACAGACCAAAACCAGAGGGTAACTATTAGTGGGGAATCATTGGGATGGTGGTCAGTGACAAGCAGAGTTGCCCAGAGCTCTGTCCTTGGCCCGATCCTGTTCAATCTTTTCATCAATGGCCTGGAAGAGGGGGTGACCAGTCTGTTGATCAAATTTGCAGACGATACGAAAACCGGGGCAATGGCCACAACTGAGGAGCAGGTATTCCAGATGCAAAAGGATCTGGACAGACTATGGAAGTGGGCAGAGGACAACAGGATGGTGTTCATTGTGGATATGTGCAAGGTCTTGCACTTGGGGCATAGGAATGGGTGTCATAAGAATAGGTTAAGGGACAAATGGCTGGAGAGCAGCACTTGTGGAAAGGATCTCGGGGGGCTGGTCGACTGCAGTCTAAACATGAGTCAGCAGTGTGACGCAGTCAAGAGGGCGAACGCTACCCTTGGTTGCATAGCCAGAAGCATGGCTTCTAGATTGAGAGAGGTATTACTTGCACTCTGTATGACTCTGGTACACCCGCAGCCGGAGTGTTGCATTCAGTTCTGGGCCTCTCATTACCACAGGGATATAGCAAGATTGGAATCGATGCAGCAAAGGGCCACAAGGTTGGTAGTTGGTTTGCAGCAAAACTCAGGGAACCAAGATCTAAGATGGATGCCAGGAAGTACTTCCTGATGGTTAGAACCCTTAGGGTATGGAATGGGCTTTCACAGGAGATGGTTGAAGCCCTGTTGGCGAGGGTATTTAAGGATAGTCTGGACTTGCACATGGTAGGCATGTTATGAATGGAGCCGGCTGGAGCCAGAGGTCAGACTAGATGGCCCAGGAGGCCCCTTCTGACTTGCTCTGTTTCTATGTTTCTGAGCCTATGCTGGCTAGTTGCCTAAATATGCCTGTGCAATTGGCTGGGCAGTTCTCCACACAGGTAGGTTTGCCTTTAAAACTGACTCAGCTGAAAAGATTGAAAGGAAGAACTGGATTATGCAAGCTTCCTTGAGTTTCTTGATATAAATGTAATAAATACCCCACTTTTCTTCTTGCAAGGAACCCAAAGTAACTTACAAAACTCCCTTTATTCTCACAACAACCTTGTGCGATAGGTAAGAGTGAGAGCCTGTGACTGGACTTAAATCACCCAGTGAGCCTCATGACCAAGGGGGTAGTAGGACCAGGATCTCACCATCGTGCTACACTGGGTCTTAACAGCAAGGCAGGCATGTGTGAGAGAAACATTTGGGGCTGGGGAGCAAAGGAATAAGCCAACCTTGCTGCCACTGTGACCTCTCTTTCAAAATTCCTTGACCCCTGGGGCAGGGGGGCTTCTAAAAAGCCTGATTGCCACACAGGGTATGCTTTTCTGCGTACAACATGCATGTAGTACACCTCTCTCGAAGGTGATGAACGCGGACAGAAATGGAGCTAAGAGCACACCTGATGGGGGGACAGAACGCAGGGGTTAGCAGAAGTATTATAAGCGCCACTAAGCAGGCACAATGCTAGGCACCAAAGACATCTGGGGCTCAGACCCATAGGATGCACAAAAAAGCGTACGTTTGCATACACTCTTGAGTATATTTATTTAAAGAATATAAGTTCTGTCCCCTAAGAACACCCATTTTTGTTAAAAAGTATGTATAGATGGGAGACAGGGGTCATTGATTTTAGGAAAAAACCTCAGGCGAAAAGATCCAAGGGATGTGGGCAGCAGGAGATGAGGAACATATGGGTTAAAAGGGAGCGGATCCCAAGGGATCAAAGGCAGTGGCTCCATCAGCAAGGCTCCATGGGTTGCTGAGCACCAGTTATTACTACATTGCATTTGTATCCTGCCTTCCTTCCTCTTCAAAGAACCCAAGTTGACCTACAAGGTTTTCCTACTATCCCTTTAATCTGAACAACAACCCTGTGAGGTAGGTTAAAATGAGAGGCAGTGGTTGGCTCCAAGTCACCCAGTGGGCTTCAGTAGGGACTAGAGCCCCATCTCCTGAGACCCGACACGCATTCTTAACCACTTTCCCAGTCGGAAAAGAGAGCTGAGAGAGGCAGGATTGGAATGCTCTGCTGGAGTTCCCGGCAGCTTATAGTATCCTGGAGGTCAGGGCAGGGGAATCGTTGTCTGGGACAAGCCCTGAATAAAAGCAGTCTCTGCTGGGGGAGGAGGATGCACAGCAGCATGTTGTGCTTGTTGGTGTAGAAAGTGCAGCACTAGAATTCCCGAAATGGCCTCGCACCAAGATCAGTTAGGTGACTGCAGAGGGCGGTGCCTTGCTAGTCTAATGTTTGGAAGGAGGGAGACAGAGCACGGAATAATGCCGAGTAAACAGAACACAATAAATCAAAGACGCTCTAATTTCTGTTGTGTCAGGCTGATTAGAGGCAATTACTTCAGTAGAAATGGGATGTTTCTGCCAAGTTTGCTGATCACTTTATATAACAAGTGAAATGGCTGCCATTTATTTATTTTGTGCTCTGTTTTTTTGTCAGTGAATAACTACAAATGGAACCAGGGATCAAATCCAGTGAACCATTTGAATTTTTATGGGATCAAAACTTGGAGTCCTCTTGAAGGGGTAGGGACGTACATACATTTCGTGCCCACTCAGTCACAAAGATAGGTTCGAAAGTCCTTGAGGGTAGATGCAGGATCAGGGCCATGCTTTCAGATCAGAGCTCCCCACAGCCAGACCCTAGTGCCTGCATGTCCACTGAGCCAAGAGCACATGCTTATCCCTGCAAATCTGGCAGACTGAACTCTAGAACATACTGAAATGGATACGGCTTAATTTTGCAAAGTGCATGCATAAGGTTGATGTGAACTTTGGGGTTTTAATTTGGTTTTTAAAACCACCAAGCTAAGGAACTCTAGATGGAGCTGTTTGATGGATAATGGTAAGCTGTGAACTGCTGGTCATCTTGGTAGTATGTCTATTTTTAGCCGTTTTCTAAGACAATCTCTCCCCTGTCCCTCAAGATGGGGTCTTTTTTCCTCACATTTCTTTCTTTCA